TGCTATTCCTAAATAATTCTTAACGTTATTATTCAGAAATATTCATAAAGCAAAAAATTTGATTTCTTACAACAATTATTTCGCAGATGGTTAAGGTCACAACTCTTGAAACTCCATATAATCCTTGCTCCACTCAAATCCTTTTTATTCCAATTCCTTAAATAAAATAAGAAGAAGCGATCCAAAATACGTATATGTACCCAGGTAAGGAAAAAGCTCCATTTATTTTAACAAAACAGTTTATTAACAGTTTATTTTAATTAAACATGGATTTTTAATAAGGTTTGAATACATTTTTACGTTAATGGATCGAACCATAATTAAATGTGTGGATCTGTGGTTATATTATCGGTTTTAGTCCTATGTAAAAATTATTACTGTACGAAGCCACTATTTGGAAACGAAATTGTCTATAAGTAAGAATCTATCAAAGGCAATGGAAAATGATAAATTATTTAGTAGTATAAATATTTGTTTGTAAATAGAAATAAAGATTTTCCTTAACAAACATTTTGGGTTTTATTGTGGATTCTAGCGAAATAAATTTTTAGTTCAGATATTTTATCTCACTGGAAGTTATTTATGTTTATTATGCGTTTACAGAGCTATAGAGCTACAGAGCTTATAGTTTTGTGTTTTTAATGTTAATTAGCTTAAGTTATTTAAGTTGTTATTGAAATTTTAGAATCCTCTCAGGATAAAGTTTAGGCGCTTCGATTTGAACACCAAAGACCGTATTGTATTATAATACGGTCTTCGCGTTTATTTACGTTCTTTGCTTACAGTTTGATGTTATTGGAATGAAATTGGCAGTAAGCTCAATAAAGCTCGAAGTGTTAATATAAGCTCTACTTTTCCAATGCTTTCAAAAGCACAGCCGACTTAGACAAAATCCCAAATAAAGTGACCATCCAAAAAACTTGCAAAACTTATAATGGCTTAAAACGTGATAAGAAGTGTTTCATATATTATTTATATAAATAAATTATAATGAATACAATTATAAGATATGAAACATTATATCAATCATTATTTTTGGTATAACAATTCAGATCAAATTAATGTTAAACCGAATTTGATTTCTCCAATGTCGTATAACGATAACAGATTTTTGTGACAACCAGCATTTTGATCATTTTTGTCCAGTAAGTTATATGTATTTCGCTGTAGCTTGGTTCTTAAGATATCCATTCAAAGATACATATTGTAGACTATGTAATTTCAGTACCATTACAAGTGCTCAGAATGAAACAAGCGTTGGAGTTCTAGATAATTCTGCTGCATAGCAAAAACGTCTTTCTATTTTCATTTCAGTATTAACGTTTAATGACAGGCAAACGTTATTTAAGAACTTTGATAACTACAACTAACTAAACTTTAATTTAGTAAATATGCCATCAAATGGCGACTGTTAGTTATCATTTATTACTGTTAGATGTATTATTTACTGATTCGAGATATATATCTTATGGGAATTGTTTATAAATTGTAAATGAAAAGTTTATTTAGATGTTATATTTATTTCATTCATTCATTAATGAATTCATTAACTAAAATAAAAGAACTACAATAAAAGTAGTGATGAATGAATGAAACAATAAATTTTAGTAAAATTGGTTGCTTTGAACAACGTTCACCACTACGCAATATGCCGAACTTGGGTTGATTCTGAGATATACTTGTATATATGTTATATTTAAATGTTCCATATTATATTCGTATTTTATGAGTCCAAATTTATTTTCTTTGATTTATATTTTTTTTGAAGTTCTTATTAATGGTTGTTCATAATGTGTACTGATTTGGCACCACTATTTCAGTGACAGATAATATCCAAGGTATCATGTATTTAGCTGAGATTTGAATTTTAATAAATGAATTATTTCAAAAGTATTTAACTTGTTGATAATAATATAACTTTTGAAATCTATACTGACACATTCGGTTTACCCGATGAAAGTCCTGAAAGAAATAAATACTTTAACCACTAAAACTGATATGAATATTATAGTTCCATATTTAAACTTATTTATAACAAATGAGTAATTTCATATATAAATAATTTTATTATGTTTAAATAATCGAAATTAATTAACTTCATATCGAACGGGCGAATCGTAGAATAACATTAGTATGACTTTCTTTCTATGAAGCCTTTGTATCTTTAGATAATGCCTTTGTCTGTGAAGAGCCTTCAGATAACATGCCTCCTGATAACGTTTGCTATGAAACAATAAACCACAAACTCTGCTAAGATTTACAGAAAACCTAAATACACAAGCCTATGTACGATAGATCTTTTTCGATCGCAGTGCTTTGTTTTCTTTGATAATATCACTGCTTTCCAAGTTCCTTCCGCATAGTAGTGGTGATTGTGAAGTGATATGCCTTACTGGATAAACAGACCCGTTATAAATAGTAAATTTATGCCATTACTTACACCAAATTCCTCTCATATTAACTTCCTCGAATATCAAAATTCACAACAAATATAAAGAACGACTACTGATTTTATACTTAACTTTTCTTATCATTTTTGAATGAAATCACATTCTCATAATAATTTGAAAAAATTATTTGTTTTTGTGGAATTTGAAAATATCATTTCATATTTATTTTGTATAGAGTTAGTTACGAATTTGAGATCGCTAAATATATTTTTATAAAGTTCATTTTTCTTTCAAGAAAAAGTTATTCTACGAGGTGCGAATATGCAAAGCGAGGAGAAACGTTTTTTGAACTTTTTGGAAACATTCCAGGGCTGCAATTCGCATTTAACAGCAGTTCAGGCTGCTAGAATTGGCAGAGCCGCGTGGAACTCTCTGACGGCCGAAGAAAAATCGATTTACCAACCGATAAGACCGGTTAGACCGGTAAGACCAACCGCGAAGAGTCCCGAGAACGTTGTTCCGGATTGTGGCCCTAGTGCAAAGAAGAAGAAAAATAAATGTCTCACGAAGAAGAAGCCTGTATGTAAGTCAAAGCTAAGTCCTAAGCCAAAAACAAAGCGCAAGGCCGGCAAGAAGCGGAAAAAACGCTTATGCCATTAATATCAACTTTTTTAGACTGGACATCAAAGTAAATATATTTCAAATAAATTTCCTATTTTGACAGCTATGCTTACTAACCTTTATTTACAGATTATACTATTGTGTAAGGTGGAAACTTGAATCCAGTCTGTAGAACCAGTAACAATTTCCACATCTCGTGCTATTCCTAAATAATTCTTAACGTAATTATTCAGAAATATTCATAAAGCAAAAAATTTGATTTCTTACAACAATTATTTCGCAGTTGGTTAAGGTCACAACTCTTGAAACTCCATATAATCCTTGCTCCACTCAAATCCTTTTTATTCCAATTCCTTAAATAAAATAAGAAGAAGCGATCCAAAATACGTATATGTACCCAGGTAAGGAAAAAGCTCCATTTATTTTAACAAAACAGTTTATTAACAGTTTATTTTAATTAAACATGGATTTTTAATAAGGTTTGAATACATTTTTACGTTAATGGATCGAACCATAATTAAATGTGTGGATCTGTGGTTATATTATCGGTTTTAGTCCTATGTAAAAATTATTACTGTACGAAGCCACTATTTGGAAACGAAATTGTCTATAAGTAAGAATCTATCAAAGGCAATGGAAAATGATAAATTATTTAGTAGTATAAATATTTGTTTGTAAATAGAAATAAAGATTTTCCTTAACAAACATTTTGGGTTTTATTGTGGATTCTAGCGAAATAAATTTTTAGTTCAGATATTTTATCTCACTGGAAGTTATTTATGTTTATTATGCGTTTACAGAGCTATAGAGCTACAGAGCTTATAGTTTTGTGTTTTTAATGTTAATTAGCTTAAGTTATTTAAGTTGTTATTGAAATTTTAGAATCCTCTCAGGATAAAGTTTAGGCGCTTCGATTTGAACACCAAAGACCGTATTGTATTATAATACGGTCTTCGCGTTTATTTACGTTCTTTGCTTACAGTTTGATGTTATTGGAATGAAATTGGCAGTAAGCTCAATAAAGCTCGAAGTGTTAATATAAGCTCTACTTTTCCAATGCTTTCAAAAGCACAGCCGACTTAGACAAAATCCCAAATAAAGTGACCATCCAAAAAACTTGCAAAACTTATAATGGCTTAAAACGTGATAAGAAGTGTTTCATATATTATTTATATAAATAAATTATAATGAATACAATTATAAGATATGAAACATTATATCAATCATTATTTTTGGTATAACAATTCAGATCAAATTAATGTTAAACCGAATTTGATTTCTCCAATGTCGTATAACGATAACAGATTTTTGTGACAACCAGCATTTTGATCATTTTTGTCCAGTAAGTTATATGTATTTCGCTGTAGCTTGGTTCTTAAGATATCCATTCAAAGATACATATTGTAGACTATGTAATTTCAGTACCATTACAAGTGCTCAGAATGAAACAAGCGTTGGAGTTCTAGATAATTCTGCTGCATAGCAAAAACGTCTTTCTATTTTCATTTCAGTATTAACGTTTAATGACAGGCAAACGTTATTTAAGAACTTTGATAACTACAACTAACTAAACTTTAATTTAGTAAATATGCCATCAAATGGCGACTGTTAGTTATCATTTATTACTGTTAGATGTATTATTTACTGATTCGAGATATATATCTTATGGGAATTGTTTATAAATTGTAAATGAAAAGTTTATTTAGATGTTATATTTATTTCATTCATTCATTAATGAATTCATTAACTAAAATAAAAGAACTACAATAAAAGTAGTGATGAATGAATGAAACAATAAATTTTAGTAAAATTGGTTGCTTTGAACAACGTTCACCACTACGCAATATGCCGAACTTGGGTTGATTCTGAGATATACTTGTATATATGTTATATTTAAATGTTCCATATTATATTCGTATTTTATGAGTCCAAATTTATTTTCTTTGATTTATATTTTTTTTGAAGTTCTTATTAATGGTTGTTCATAATGTGTACTGATTTGGCACCACTATTTCAGTGACAGATAATATCCAAGGTATCATGTATTTAGCTGAGATTTGAATTTTAATAAATGAATTATTTCAAAAGTATTTAACTTGTTGATAATAATATAACTTTTGAAATCTATACTGACACATTCGGTTTACCCGATGAAAGTCCTGAAAGAAATAAATACTTTAACCACTAAAACTGATATGAATATTATAGTTCCATATTTAAACTTATTTATAACAAATGAGTAATTTCATATATAAATAATTTTATTATGTTTAAATAATCGAAATTAATTAACTTCATATCGAACGGGCGAATCGTAGAATAACATTAGTATGACTTTCTTTCTATGAAGCCTTTGTATCTTTAGATAATGCCTTTGTCTGTGAAGAGCCTTCAGATAACATGCCTCCTGATAACGTTTGCTATGAAACAATAAACCACAAACTCTGCTAAGATTTACAGAAAACCTAAATACACAAG